ACAAAATATCGCCTAAAATTCACGAATTATCCGCAGCTAGCGCTAGTATCGCTTTTGCACTGAGCGAATAGAAGGTTTTAGGTTTACTATAAAATAAGTGGGGCACCTGCACAAGCTTTAGCTATGAGTTAAGTGCAACTTATATTAATGATTCATCACTAACTACTTATTTTAATGAGTATAGTTCGGCTCCCGATTAGTTGATTTTCTCCAAACTTTCCTATTATTCAAATATCTAATAAATCTTTTTCCTATACGCTGAAAGTGTTATCCTCCATATCCTGTCACAAAGCAAATAAACAGTCTTAAACTTCGAAAGCTGGCCGTTTTTTACTCAGGAGAGATTAAAATTTTCAGAAACAAAAACTCCTTCCTGCATCCCGCTGCTGGTCCGATATGGATTTAGTTTGTTGAATATTGGAGCAGGGAAAAGCTTAAATTAATTTGCCGGCATCGTTTCTCGTTGGTTTTGTTTCGTTCTCAACTGTAAAACTGAAGGTTATAAATATTTATTGAAAGCAAAGACGAGGTGGGTTGTGTCAAAGAAACTTTATTAGAGAGAAAATGTAACAGTAGGCAACGAACGGGGCGAGGTAAGTACGTATCAATTATTAAGTTGTGGACCTAAACTATCAAACTTCTGACATTAACCTTTTTTTTAATGTCCTATTTTAAAGAACTGGCTTTTGAACCTCAAATAGAGATTCAAATAAATGTGTACTGTAACATCCTAATTCCGGTACTCCGTAAGGTGGCTACACAACCGACGAGTCACTAAGCGCCTCTGCGGAAGAGGCTAAAAGGGAAAAGAAGAACGCGAGGGATAAGTTTGATTGATGCTTGTTTTAGATTCCTATGCTTCTGCTTGATATTGTTAAATTTTTGTTATATTACCTTATTTTCGACGATTAAATACTTGTTGGTAACTAGGGATACTTAAAAGCCTCACACACCCTGTATATTTTAATTCAAGTTTTGCCACCAGCTGGCACTACTGAAATGTTAGATCGGTATTAAATGTATGCTTTTTTAATAACTGGTACTGGATACATAAGCATGAAAATAAAGAACTTAAAAGGGATGCTAATAATTAATTAATAAAAAACTTTAAAATCAAAATGGACGTCATTCATTGTTCACTATCAAAGGCAGAAAGTCCGAAAAGTTTTCCACTTTGTGTTTTTTTTACGACTTTTCGAATGACCCTCGTATGTGCATCGAGCATCCCTTCTTTCCTAATGGTCACTTGAACAATCATGATGGAATTTCCTGGCAATCTTCCTAAGAGAATTTGCAGAAATTACACACATAAAAGGAGATTGTTTGGCGCTTCTCAGACGGAAAATTAGCACACTCAGATGCAATTTGTGGTCGCAAAATGGGAATTTTGGTATAAATAAACCAAAAACTAGTCACCGTAAAGTGAAACAAGCAATATTTTTTATTTTTATTTTTCTTTAATGAAATATTTTTGCTTCTAGCTATATGAGTATATATAAAAAGAGAACAAGCTGTAACCTCTTCGGTCTCAAAATTATTTTTTTATAAAATTCATATGTAAATTTATAGAAGAAGATTTATATTAAAGTGTACCTAATCCAAAATCTAACCAGATGATGATAATAATAGATATTTATGAAACCAGTTGCAAAATGGTTTATTTTAGGTATCGAGTGAATATTTGCGGGACAAGCAGAGCAAGGTCCCGCAACGTGAACGAGTTACATAAAACGGTATTTCGTAATGCGTAACCTACAATATTTTTTTTTATTTTCACTAATTATTTTTAAAATTGTATTTTGGTAAAAATAAAAAAATACTAACATCTAGGCAACCAATATTACTTCTTTCTTGTATTGTTAGTTGCATATAATAAATTTCATTCTTTTATTGATAAATAAAAAATAATATTCTCAACAACCTGTTGTAGTGTGTTTTAATTATTTTATACTAATTAGGAATGGAAATTAAGGACCAAAATAACATTATTACTAGGTTGTAAGTATAACCAATTTGTAGAAGTGAATCTGCCCTTATTTGATATAAACTTTCAATAATAATGTATATTATTAATTTTAAAATCAAAAAAGATTTATTTTTATTTGTTTTGACATTTGCTGCGATTACAAAAGATGTCCAAAATAAAAATATATTAATATTAGCTAAATCCATACTAGGTAGCAAGAAAGTTTAGAAAGAAACTTTTATTCACTATTTTCTAAACAACTTTGTGTTGAGGGAGCATCAAGTCTATAGAATTGATTCTGTATAATTCCTTAAAAATATTTTTTGGAAAAACGAAAGGGTATACAAAAGACGATGCGAGGCAGCAACAAAGTTTAGAAAAATACTTTTATTTGTGTTTTACGAATTACCTCTATTATAGGGAGCATCAATTCTGTGGATTTTATTCCATAGATTTGATTCTGTGCAATTTATTCTGTACAATTAATTTTGTATAATTAATTTTGTACAATTATGTACAACTGATTGTATAAAATTGATTATATAGAATTGATTCTGTAGAATAGATTCTGAAGGATTGTTTGAATATATTCTGTAGAATTAATTTTGTAGAATTGATTCCGTAGAATTATTTAGTAGAATTGATTCTGTAGAAATTATTTTGTAGAATTGATTCTGTAGAATTGATTATGCAAACCTAATTCTGTAGAATTGATTATGAAGAATTGATTCTGTAGAATTGATTTTGTAGAATTGATTCTGTAGAATTGATTTTGTAGAATTGATTCTGTAGAATTGATTCTGTAGAATTGATTCTGTAAAATTGATTTTGTAGAATTAATTTTGTAGAATTGATTCTGTAGAATTGATTTTGTAGAATTGATTTTGTAGAATTGATTTTGTAGAATTGATTTTGTAGAATTGATTCTGTAGAATTGATTTTGTAGAATTGATTCTGTAGAATTTATTCTGTAGAATTTATTCTGTAGAATTTATTCTGTAGAATTTATTCTGTAGAATTTATTCTGTAGAATTTATTCTGTAGAATTTATTCTGTAGAATTTATTCTGTAGAATTTATTCTGTAGAATTTATTCTGTAGAATTGATTCTGTAGAATTGATTCTGTAGAATTGATTCTGTAGAATTGATTCTGTAGAATTGAGTCTGTAGAATTGATTCTATAGAATTGATTCTGTAGAATTAATTCTGTAGAATTGATTTTGTAGAATTGATTCTGTAGAATTGATTCTGTAGAATTGATTTTGTAGAATTAATTTTGTAGAATTGATTCTGTAGAATTGATTTTGTAGAATTGATTTTGTAGAATTGATTCTGTAGAATTGATTTTGTAGAATTGATTCTGTAGAATTTATTCTGTAGAATTTATTCTGTAGAATTTATTCTGTAGAATTTATTCTGTAGAATTTATTCTGTAGAATTTATTCTGTAGAATTTATTCTGTAGAATTTATTCTGTAGAATTTATTCTGTAGAATTTATTCTGTAGAATTTATTCTGTAGAATTTATTCTGTAGAATTTATTCTGTAGAATTTATTCTGTAGAATTTATTCTGTAGAATTTATTCTGTAGAATTTATTCTGTAGAATTTATTCTGTAGAATTTATTCTGTAGAATTTATTCTGTAGAATTTATTCTGTAGAATTTATTCTGTAGAATTTATTCTGTAGAATTTATTCTGTAGAATTTATTCTGTAGAATTTATTCTGTAGAATTTATTCTGTAGAATTTATTCTGTAGAATTTGTTTTGTAGAATTTATTCTATAGAATTTATTCTGTAGAATTTATTCTGTAGAATTTATTCTGTAGAATTTATTTTGTAGAATTTGTTCTGTAGAATTTATTCTGTAGAATTTATTCTGTAGAATTTATTCTGTAGAATTTATTCTGTAGAATTTATTCTGTAGAATTTATTTTGTAGAATTTATTCTGTAGAATTTATTCTGTAGAATTTATTCTGTAGAATTTATTCTGTAGAATTTATTCTGTACAATTTATTCTGTAGAATTTATTCTGTAGAATTTATTCTGTAGAATTTATTCTAAAGAATTTATTCTGTAGAATTTATTCTGTAGAATTTATTCTGTAGAATTTATTCTGTAGAATTTATTCTGTAGAATTTATTCTGTAGAATTTATTCTGTGGAATTTATTCTGTAGAATTTATTCTGTAGAATTTATTCTGTAGAATTTATTCTGTAGAATTTATTCTGTAAAATTTATTCTGTACAATTTATTCTGTAGAATTTATTCTGTAGAATTTATTCTGTAGAATTTATTCTGTAGAATTTATTCTGTAGAATTTATTCTGTAGAATTTATTCTGTAGAATTTATTCTGTAGAATTTATTCTGTAGAATTTATTATGTAGAATTTATTCTGTAATATTTATTTTGAAGAGTTGATTCTGTAAAATTGATTCTGTAAAATTGATTCTGTAAAATTGATTCTGTAGAATTGATTCTGTAAAATTGATTCTGTAGAATTGATTCTGTAAAACTGATTCTGTAGAATTGATTCTGTAGAATTGATTCTGTAGAATTGATTCTGTAGAATTGATTCTGTAGGATTGAGTCTGTAGAATTGATTCTGTAGAATTGAGTCTGTAGAATTGATTCTGTAGAATTGATTCTGTAGAATTGATTCTGTAGAATTGATTCTGTAGAATTGATTCTGTAGAATTGATTCTGTAGAATTGATTCTGTAGAATTGATTCTGTAGAATTAATTCTGTAGAATTGATTCTGTAGAATTGATTCTGTAGAATTGATTCTGTAGAATTGATTCTTTAGAATTGATTCTGTAGAATTTATTCTGTAGAATTGATTCTGTAGAATTGATTCTGTAGAATTGATTCTGTAGAATTGATTCTGTAGAATTGATTCTGTAGAATTGATTCTGTAGAATTGATTCTGTAGAATTGATTCTGTAGAATTGATTCTGTAGAATTGATTCTGTAGAATTGATTCTGTAGAATTAATTGTGTAGAATTAATTCTGTAGAATTAATTCTGTAGAATTAATTCTGTACAATTGAGTCTGTAGAATTGATTCTGTAGAATTGATTTTGTAGAATTGATTCTGTAGAATTGATTCTGTAGAATTGATTCTGTAGAATTGATTCTGTAGAATTGATTCTGTAGAATTGATTCTGTAAAATTGATTCTGTAGAATTGATTCTGTAGAATTGATCCGGTAGAATTGATTCTGTAGAATTGATTTTGTAGAATTGATTCTGTAGAATTGATTCTGTAGAATTGATTTTGTAGAATTGATTCTGTAGAATTGATTCTGTAGAATTAATTCTGTAGAATTGATTCTGTAGAATTGATTCTGTAGAATTGATTCTGTAGAATTGATTCTGTAGAATTGATTCTGTAGAATTGATTCTGTAGAATTGATTCTGTAGAATTGATTCTGTAGAATTGATTCTGTAGAATTGATTCTGTAGAATTGATTCTGTAGAATTGATTCTGTAGAATTGATTCTGTAGAATTGATTCTGTAGAATTGATTCTGTAGAATTGATTCTGTAGAATTGATTCTGTAGAATTGATTCTGTAGAATTGATTCTGTAGAATTGATTCTGTAGAATTGATTCTGTAGAATTGATTCTGTAGAATTGATTCTGTAGAATTGATTCTGTAGAATTGATTCTGTAGAATTGATTCTGTAGAATTGATTCTGTAGAATTGATTCTGTAGAATTGATTCTGTAGAATTGATTCTGTAGAATTGATTCTGTAGAATTGATTCTGTAGAATTGATTCTGTAGAATTGATTCTGTAGAATTGATTCTGTAGAATTGATTCTGTAGAATTGATTCTGTAGAATTGATTCTGTAGAATTGATTCTGTAGAATTGATTCTGTAGAATTGATTCTGTAGAATTGATTCTGTAGAATTGATTCTGTAGAATTGATTCTGTAGAATTGATTCTGTAGAATTGATTCTGTAGAATTGATTCTGTAGAATTGATTCTGTAGAATTGATTCTGTAGAATTGATTCTGTAGAATTGATTCTGTAGAATTGATTCTGTAGAATTGATTCTGTAGAATTGATTCTGTAGAATTGATTCTGTAGAATTGATTCTGTAGAAATGATCCTTTAAAATTGATTCTGTAAAATTAATTAGGTAAATTAATTCGGTAGAATTGATTTTATAGAATTGATCCTGTAAAATTAATTTTCTCAAAATTATTCTGTAAAATGAAATCCATAAAATTGATTATATAGAAATAATTCCGTAGAATTATTAATAATAATAATAATGTTTATTCAATAATATAAATATAAAAATGTACATTATAATTTTTTAAAAAGTTAAAAGAAACATATAACCTAATGAGTAAACATAAATCCACTGAAACCGACCTGCAGGCAGTGTCAGTTTGTATGTGGAAAATTTGGTATGAAAAAAATATATATAAATAAAATATTATTAACATTAATAAAAATAACTCAGTAAAGTATCACAATAAGGTAAAGCGTCACAATAGGTTTAATATGAGTCACAATTAGGGTAAAGCATCACAATAGGGTAAAGCATCACAATAGGGTAAAGCGACAAATAGGGTATATATAAAATAATGTTTTAATCGGTATGACAGTTAAAATATAATACAATTAAAATTAATATTATCTATGATGTATAGGTACACATAGAAGGTATAACATAATTTGATACAAGAATTTATATTAGTTAATTTAGTTTATTAATAATTTATATTATTTAATTTAGTTTGGTGTCTTCAAGGTGTACCCTACGATATATTATTTATTATATTATGAAATGTTACTCTGGGTGTATCTTTAATCCAAAGTTTAAGTGAATTTTTAAATGTAATTGTATTTTGGATATTTTTAAGTTCTGCTGGAATGCTGTTATAAATTTTAGGTGCAAGATAATTAATGCTTCGTTGTTTAATTGTTTTTTCACATTTAGGTACCTTTACATTACGGTTTTTGTTTCTGGTATAATACGATTGTGACAGAGGTTCTATTATTACTTTTTTTTATGAATGTTTATGAATGTTTATGAATGTTTATGAATGTTTATGAATGTTTATGAATGTTTATGAATGTTTATGAATGTTTATGAATGTTTATGAATGTTTATGAATGTTTATGAATGTTTATGAATGTTTATGAATGTTTATGAATGTTTATGAATGTTTATGAATGTTTATGAATGTTTATGAATGTTTATGAATGTTTATGAATGTTTATGAATGTTTATGAATGTTTATGAATGTTTATGAATGTTTATGAATGTTTATGAATGTTTATGAATGTTTATGAATGTTTATGAATGTTTATGAATGTTTATGAATGTTTATGAATGTTTATGAATGTTTATGAATGTTTATGAATGTTTATGAATGTTTATGAATGTTTATGAATGTTTATGAATGTTTATGAATGTTTATGAATGTTTATGAATGTTTATGAATGTTTATGAATGTTTATGAATGTTTATGAATGTTTAGGAATGTTTATGAATGTTTATGAATGTTTATGAATGTTTATGAATGTTTAGGAATGTTTATGAATGTTTATGAATGTTTATGAATGTTTATGAATGTTTATTAATGTTTATTAATGTTTATTAATGTTTATTAATGTTTATTAATGTTTATGAATGTTTATGAATATTTATGAATGTTTATGAATGTTTATGAATGTTTATGAATGTTTATGAATGTTTATGAATGTTTATGAATGTTTATGAATGTTTATGAATGTTTATGAATGTTTATGAATGTTTATGAATGTTTATGAATGTTTATGAATGTTTATGAATGTTTATGAATGTTTATGAATGTTTATGAATGTTTATGAATGTTTATGAATGTTTATGAATGTTTATGAATGTTTATGAATGTTTATGAATGTTTATGAATGTTTATGAATGTTTATGAATGTTTATGAATGTTTATGAATGTTTATGAATGTTTATGAATGTTTAGGAATGTTTATGAATGTTTATGAATGTTTATGAATGTTTATGAATGTTTATGAATGTTTATGAATGTTTATGAATGTTTAGGAATGTTTATGAATGTTTATGAATGTTTATGAATGTTTATGAATGTTTATTAATGTTTATTAATGTTTATTAATGTTTATTAATGTTTATGAATGTTTATGAATATTTATTAATGTTTATGAATGTTTATGAATGTTTATGAATGTTTATGAATGTTTATGAATGTTTATGAATGTTTATGAATGTTTATGAATGTTTATGAATGTTTATGAATGTTTATGAATGTTTATGAATGTTTATGAATGTTTATGAATGTTTATGAATGTTTATGAATGTTTATGAATGTTTATGAATGTTTATGAATGTTTATGAATGTTTATGAATGTTTATGAATGTTTATGAATGTTTATGAATGTTTATGAATGTTTATGAATGTTTATGAATGTTTATGAATGTTTATGAATGTTTATGAATGTTTATGAATGTTTATGAATGTTTATGAATGTTTATGAATGTTTATGAATGTTTATGAATGTTTATGAATGTTTATGCATGTTTATGAATGTTTATGAATGTTTATGAATGTTTATGAATGTTTATGAATGTTTATGAATGTTTATGAATGTTTATGAATGTTTATGAATGTTTATGAATGTTTATGAATGTTTATGAATGTTTATGAATGTTTATGAATGTTTATGAATGTTTATGAATGTTTATGAATGTTTATGAATGTTTATGAATGTTTATGAATGTTTATGAATGTTTATGAATGTTTATGAATGTTTATGAATGTTTATGAATGTTTATGAATGTTTATGAATGTTTATGAATGTTTATGAATGTTTATGAATGTTTATGAATGTTTATGAATGTTTATGAATGTTTATGAATGTTTATGAATGTTTATGAATGTTTATGAATGTTTATGAATGTTTATGAATGTTTATGAATGTTTATGAATGTTTATGAATGTTTATGAATGTTTATGAATGTTTATGAATGTTTATGAATGTTTATGAATGTTTATGAATGTTTATGAATGTTTATGAATGTTTATGAAAGTTTATAAATGTTTATGAATGTTTATGAATGTTTATGAATGTTTATGAATGTTTATGAATGTTTATGAATGTTTATGAATGTTTATGAATGTTTATGAATGTTTATGAATGTTTATGAATGTTTATGAATGTTTATGAATGTTTATGAATGTTTATGAATGTTTATGAATGTTTATGAATGTTTATGAATGTTTATGAATGTTTATGAATGTTTAGGAATGTTTATGAATGTTTATGAATGTTTATGAATGTTTATGAATGTTTATGAATGTTTATGAATGTTTATTAATGTTTGTGAATGTTTATGAATGTTTATGAATATTTATGAATGTTTATGAATGTTTATGAATGTTTATGAATGTTTATGAATGTTTATGAATGTTTATGAATGTTTATGAATGTTTATGAATGTTTATGAATGTTTATGAATGTTTATGAATGTTTATGAATGTTTATGAATGTTTATGAATGTTTATGAATGTTTATGAATGTTTATGAATGTTTATGAATGTTTATGAATGTTTATGAATGTTTATGAATGTTTATGAATGTTTATGAATGTTTATGAATGTTTATGAATGTTTATGAATGTTTATGAATGTTTATGAATGTTTATGAATGTTTATGAATGTTTATGAATGTTTATGAATGTTTATGAATGTTTATGAATGTTTATGAATGTTTATGAATGTTTATGAATGTTTATGAATGTTTATGAATGTTTATGAATGTTTATGAATGTTTATGAATGTTTATGAATGTTTATGAATGTTTATGAATGTTTATGAATGTTTATGAATGTTTATGAATGTTTATGAATGTTTATGAATGTTTATAAATGTTTATGAATGTTTATGAATGTTTATGAATGTTTATGAATGTTTATGAATGTTTATGAATGTTTATGAATGTTTATGAATGTTTATGAATGTTTATGAATGTTTATGAATGTTTATGAATGTTTATGAATGTTTATGAATGTTTATGAATGTTTATGAATGTTTATGAATGTTTATGAATGTTTATGAATGTTTATGAATGTTTATGAATGTTTATGAATGTTTATGAATGTTTATGAATGTTTATGAATGTTTATGAATGTTTATGAATGTTTATGAATGTTTATGAATGTTTATGAATGTTTATGAATGTTTATGAATGTTTATGAATGTTTATGAATGTTTATGAATGTTTATGAATGTTTATGAATGTTTATGAATGTTTATGAATGTTTATGAATGTTTATGAATGTTTATGAATGTTTATGAATGTTTATGAATGTTTATGAATGTTTATGAATGTTTATATAGATTTATATAGATGATTATATAGAATTGATTCCGTAGAATTGATTATGTAGAATTAATTATGTTGAATTGATTCTATAGAAATAATTCTAAACAATTGATTTTATAAAATTGGTTCTATAGAACTGATTCTGTATTATAGTCTTAGCAATATTCACAAAGGAGTAATGATGGCTATATAAGTCGAAAGAGCTTACTTTATTTATTAACCCTCTAATTAATTTTAATAATTTTTTAAAATATGATTTTAGTACGTAAGTGGAATTATTAAAATATCACTGCGTTGGTACTGAATAATATATCACTTTTAAACTCCCTCATCAATTCGGACGTTTAGATTTCAATATGAAACCATTCTATTCGTCCAGCTTTCAACCTATTATCTAGATTAATTACAATAAACAGAATTTATCATTCTATTAACGCCGATAATGTCCTTTGGAATGTTCTTATCCTTCTTACAAGCGATCGATCGTCCTTACGAAGCCACTGGAACGTGATCGTCGATCCGTAGTCCTGCAGTAGACCGCATTTCTCTCGTTCCTCATACCTCATCAGCATCACGCTCTATGCTTTTACCTAATGCCATACCTGTGCAATGGCCAAGCATAGCGTGACAACGATGCTTGGATGCACGTGTGCATATAACCGCATTTCAATATAAATCTAGAATGTACGGAGTGTCCCAATGTGGGTCGTTATTACTTCCATAATTTTTTTGTTTCTAATCGGGAATTGCATTTTTATCAACAAGGTATTTTTTACTCTTACTTTTCGCTACATTTCACACTGAAAACGCAAGAAATACAATTTTTGGTCGGTTGTGCGTGCTTATAGGCGCCGACACCATTCATGTTGTTTCTTCGTTCCGAATGTATGTTAGTCTAGCTTCGTCCGCTTCATGTTGAACATTTCATCTGAATTCATCTGTTCTTTAAATGTCGAATTCATATAATTAGCTAATCTAGCAAAAGTTTGCTAATTACTCATATTACATTATCTTAGTAACAAAAAAAGTCACCTATAAAAACACATAAACTTTTTACAGCGAAAGTAGTATCGCCAAAATTTCTGAATACTTAGATATATGCCAAGGTTAACATTGATAAATTAAATATTCTTAAAGTCGGTAAGCTCAGATAATTTTTAAAATAAGGTGTAATTTGCTAATAAAAAAAGAATCAAAATTGAATGCAGCTCTTATTTTAATATTTAGAGCTGCAACTAACACAATTAACTGTTGTCTTGAAATTCATTCATAATCAGTTCAAAGGAAAAAAGCCACTTTACAGTTTGCAATTTTGCTCGCTGTGAGTATAATTTGATAATTACCATTGAGTGCACGAGAAATTGCTGTCTGTATTATACTATACTATATATTGCAAAAAAGTGCAAAAAAGTCTCAAATTTAAGTCTATAAATAGATTGAAGGCATAATAATAATAATAATTAAACCTCAGATTATAGGCCAATAACCTTTTTGACATATTTTGCATTTACCTGTTTAAGACTTGAGGCTTAACTATTTGAAAATTCCTAACCTTTTGACCTTTTATAATAAACAATTATCAAATTGTTATTATCAGTAGTACAAAAAGTTACTGTATCAGAGATTAGTTTTGTTGCATGTGTCAAAAAGTAAAGAATATACGTTTCAAAAAGTTTTAGACCTCTTATGAGTTTATTTAGAAAGATGACTTTTAAGTTACGTGTATGGATATGACCATATCCGGAAGTGTCTCTAGAAGAAGATGGAGCATTTTGTAAGCCGTGCAGCAAATCGGTAAGTTTAATTTTCTCTCTCTTTCTCTCTCTCACACAGACACACACAAATACCCTATAACTATTTTAGTGTGGTATTCAAATTATAATTAATATTTTTCAAAACGCTTAGATTTCAAGCACAATAATAGCTATTTATGTAACCAGTTACGAAATGCCTTATTTTGTGTAACCGAGGTCCCGCAAAATGAACGAGTTTCATAAAAAGATTTTTTCTTCTTTTGACTTGATTATTTATAAAATTGTATTTGGTTAAAAAATTATTCACCACCAATCTTTTGTAGGTACTTCCAATAAAATCAAATTTCAGAAAATTGTTTCATTTGATTGCCCTACAACGTTTTTTTTTTAATAGTAATAATAAACAAGGGATATGTGCAGTGTTGCCGATCGGATTTTTGACATTACCCGCGGGAAATTGCATGCACGCACGCACTCACGCACACACGCACACACACGCACACACGCACACACACGCACACACCCGCACACACTCACGCACACCCGCGCGCGCGCGCGCGCACACACGCATTCGCTTACACGCGCGCGCGCACACATACATACACACACACACACACACACACACACACACAATATTTTATTTTTTAGGGTTGCTAAGTTAAGTCGGCACCCTTCAGAGTTAATCAATGTAAGACATATTTTGTAAGGCTATTTTTTTCGTTTTTTGGAACAATTCTAGGGGGTGCTGTCAAAAAAAAAGTAATATTGCAAAAGACAAACCACCCTGTTGAGTATATTTAGTTAATGTAGTGTTAATCGGTTATCTCTCAAGCTATTTGAGAACTAAAAAAGTTTGATTCCTTTTGTTTAATTTTTTGATATTACCTGTTATACATATTTATAGGTATTTTTCAATAAAAAGCTTTTAAACCAATTATAATTTAGTATTATTATTGTTTTATCTACTTTGATTTTATACAAAAATATTAATTAAATTTGTTGCGTAAATTTATGTTTTCTTTAACTACTAACCCTAACTAGGGGGCGCCTTAGTAATAAACACCTAACTAAATTTTCTTATAAAGGCTCTTCTTATCATCTTACCACGCAAGAGACATGCACAGTGTGTAATAAAAAAGAATCTGAAACGATCCACCACGTTTTGTTTGATTGTCCAATATACGTCTCGATTAAACCAAACAACGCCCAATTTTTAAATAACGCAGGCACACTCATTAGGTTTGTTCGGGTTTCCTTAAAACTCGATGCAAACCGTCCGAGAACTAGTGGAACAGTTCAATTCTAAAGTATACGTCGCACACAACTATTAAACTGTCCACTGGTCAACTAGTCCTCTGATAGTTTTCAATGTATTTTAAAGAACCCGAACAGACCTAGTGTTGCTCTTAATAACGTTACCCCCTCTCTAGCGAAAACCATAAGTACGCATGTGTGGAACATCCTAATGCTCAGATCATTTATAATAAACGAATAATACGAATATTATTTATTATTTTACTTTTATCAGTCTGGGACCTGGGTACACTGGCGTAGACGACGAAAAACTCCCCAAACTGTGGTATTTTTAAATTATTTATATCAATAGGTTAAGAATTGTATTTTTTTGTTTATTTTTTTTTGTACCACTAATATTTTTGTATGTTGTGTAGTTATCAATAATCTTTCAACTTTGTTATTTCTTTCTCACTTTTTTTTATTACTTACTACTACTACTATAATAATATATTTCGTACTCGATAGTAATGTAAACTAAACCCTTGTTATAGAATTGTAAATTCTAAATACAATAAAGATTATTATTATTATTATTATTATTATTATTATTATTATTATTATTATTATTATTATTATTATTATTATTATTATTATTATTATTATTATTATTATTATTATTATTATTATTATTATTATTATTATTATTATTATTATTATTATTATTATTATTATTATTATTATACTAACTAGAGGGCGCCAAAATAGGGATGACACGAGGGTAGCTTTAGTCCTCGTAGGTTCCCTATCCAGACAATTTTTGAGCTGATTAGGTAATAGCTCAGCTCTTTGGTAGCTGCTTGGCTATCAGACATGATAATCTCTTGTATGCGATAATTTATCTCGAACTAAATATGCTTCTCAATAGAGTGAATTTCCGCCTGCAAGATGCTTGGGCAATAACTCAAACTGGGTCGCCGTGGAAGGCGATGAGATTATCCCACTCATTTTTAACCTACTCAAACTTTTAGTGTATCTGGTTCTGGGCCCATACACACCTATTCCAGTTTTTTCTATGGTTTTGGAACAATCCGTATAACAGAATATCATGCATTTCGAGTGCAAGCATGATGGATTCTTGGGTCCATTCTTTTTTGCAGCTAATAGATTTTTGTTTGATTACTTCGTTTCTGCTCATTCTATATCTTGTTCTTTTTTCCACGTTCTCTATCATTAAATATAGAGGGATTAGTTTTAAAATCACCTCCATTGCGGCCGTAGGATAGGTTCTTATTACATTGGTACTTTTGAAATATTAGCTTTCGTAGTAGCTAAACTAGTTCTGTTACTCTAGGCTCATAAGTGATGATTGGTCTCACTACTGCTGTATACATCCATCGCAGTGTGTTCGGGTTACATCTCCATCTTTTAACCGCAATGTTTCTGCATACGATTTTGGCTTTTGTTGCCTTACTTACTACTTTCTTCCCGTGTATGTTCAAGAGAAGTTTGTTGTCCAGGCCTAGATATAGACTTCTTTTTTTAATTATATATCTATCAATCTATGTCAAAGAATTTCGTCTAATATTCTGCGACCTATCACATTCAAAGCCACCTACGTTTTTATAAATGTTTTGCAGAAAACTTATTTATGCGTACTATATTATTAATTTTTCAAAAATTAAATGTTTCTTTGAGTTTAGTAACCGAACTATATTAGAATTTAGTAATTTATCCTAATAAATATTTACTTTTAATAAAAACTAAAATTCCAGGAAGATATTTTACTTTATTATAGAAGTTCAATAATAAATAGTCCTATTATAAATGTTGTAAGAAGCAACCTTTCCGTATATTTTAGTATTCATTAGATGAGCTATACTTATAGTTTAGAATATTGTTAATTTATCTGTTATTACTTTACGCATAACAAAAATTCAAGGAATTTATATTATTTGTATGATGCGAAATTAGGTCAAAAAGAACGACTCTACTATAGTTTATTTAAAAATAAATGATAGCAAAATTTTTAGGTCCAAGAGATAAACCCCAATATAACATCATAAATCAGTGACGGAGAATTTCTAAAATAAAATGTTTAGCATTATTTATTCCAAAATAAAATCTTTGATTTTCTTCATAACATTTTTAAAAATACCAATTTATTTCAATGTTTGTCTTAAATTTTCTATTTATTCAACAAAATTAAAGTGAGTATGTAATCTCTACAGGTAGAAAATATTTACAATTCAAGATCAACTTAAGTAACCCTCAACTTTCATAGAAAGGATTAAAATTTCTAATCGGCAGAAAGTGTTATGCATGTTGTAAATTATTTTAGTGAAGATGTACATTTCTGTTTGTTTAGTCCTGTAATAATTGTATTACGCAGAATTGTTAGTTCTCTAATATTGATATTGATTAAGTGAATTTGTGTAATAAAAATGGCACAAACGTCTAATTATACTCCTGTGAAATTAAAGTGCAATTTAACCGTGCATATGAAAACTTTAGGGTTAAATGTACATGATGCTCTTGTACAAGAACATTTTAATTGTAAGGTTCGGAGTATAGTTTCTAAATGTTCAAACATTAATAGAGTTGGAGAAGCAACCATTTATAGACTTTTGAAGTAACGAAAGGATGAAAGTATTACAGTAGTACCTAAAATGTCAACTGGATGAAAACCCATTCAAATAGACAGTTCTATAAAACAATGGATCCGAAGAAAAGTGCATTCGTTTAATTTACAAAAAAATACCTACTTTAGATAAACTTTTAGTAGACATTAATAGAGATGAAACTTAGCCAAACGTTAAAAGAGACAAATTGTGGAAAACTTTACATGAATTAGACTTCCTTTGGGAGAAGAACGATAGAAAATCTGCGCTCATAAAGAAAGATAAAATTAATTGTTGGAGGAGTCAATATTTAAGGGAATTTAAAAAAGTAGGAAGAGAAGACAAATATTTTTTTATTCCGATGAAACATGGATATATGAAGGACATTTTGTAAAAAAAGTTAGGCAAGATAAACAGGTTACAAATACTAGTCAGGCATTTATAGAAGGTTTTTTCTACTGGCCTGAAATTTCCAAATTGTAAACGTCGCCGTTTAATTATCACTCATATTGGAGGAGATAAAGGATTTGTTGATAGATGCTTGTTAGAATTTGTTTTAAATTCTACGAAAGGCTACCACAAAGAAATGACTGCTGATGTTTTTGAGGAATATTTCAGTTAAATGATAGATTTATTATCGACCAATTCTATAATAGTTGTGGACAATTCCAGTTACCACAAGCAAGCAAGAACTCTCCGATTGGCTAATAACCAAAGAAATAGTGACAGAAGAGGGATTACTCAAAAAAGAGCTATTGCAGTTATGTAAACAACATTCACCAAAATTTAAGAAGTATAATGAAGATGAAATAGCAAAAGAACATGGAGTGTTGCGGTTACCACCTTATTACTGTGAACTTAACCTCACTGAACTAATCTGGGCTCAAATGAAGGGATATGTCACGAGAACCAATACAACATTTAAACTGTAAGATGTTCGTCAACTATTATCTGTTTCCATATTAAAAATTTCACAGGACAATTGGCAAAATGCTATAAGACATGCCATAGCAGAGGAAGAGAAATTTTGGAAAATTGATATTGTGATGTTTGTTTACTTTAAAACAACAGTTTATTTGTAAATACTAAACACTACTATTTAATTTATATATATATATATATATATATATATATATATATATATATATATATTGAATTGTAGTCGTCCGTGGCATCCGTATAGATATGACCCTTGATGGCATCCGCCCAATATACACCATGTATACTGAGAAGAATTTAAAAATACTAATAGCGTCTTTCGTGAACTCTGTAAGTTTGACAACACTGATCCGTTTCAAATTGCATGAAATGTTTCTAGTTTGTGTAAAATTCAGCCCCTTTTAGACCTTAAAACCACATGTGTTTATTTTACGGACGTTTAGTTGTACTTTGAATAAAGACCCAAAAATAGATATTTGGGTATTGCTCTTATTTCTTTTACTTTAAATAAATAAAGTGCCTTGGTTTATTTGGTCATAAATTTTTATTTAATTTTTTATTTTATAGGCGAAAGATATATTTTGGATAACATATTCTTTATCTTCTGGTTCAGTAAATTATTTTTAAAAACATGAGGAACTAAAACACATGTAATTTTTTAAAACAGTTAAAGCCCCATCTTTTGTTTTACAGCGTGTGGAGGTGTATTCGAAATAATATAATTTCGATTTAACAAGATATATACAGTAGGAAAACAAAAACATGAGTGTTTACAAATTTAAAAAATATCAGTGGCGTTAAAATATAGAATAAAATTAAAAAGCTTACAATTAGTTAGAATTAAAATAAACGTTAGATAAATATTTTATGTCTGTTTTAATATTTTTTTAATATGTATCATTTCAGGGATAGTTCTTTTGTTTTATTTGATTTATTTTCGAGAATTTGTACATTTTCAAAACCAAAAGAGTGCAAAAAATGTTCTATATAGAACTTGTGTATTTCTTATGACTCCTAAAAAGACAAAAAACAGTCCAAAAATGACGTTCTCCTTAGTAAACAAAATCAATCAAAGAAAAACTATAATAGGGTATTTTTTTTTC